ATATATATATAATTTTTTATATTTTTTTTATAATTTATTTTTTTATCTTATTATATTATATTTTATATTTTAATATATTTTAAAATTCTCTTAATAATTTAATCTTATTTAATCAAATTTTTTTATTTAAAAATATTTTAATATATAAATATTTATTAATATTTTAATTTTAATAAATTAAGCAATTTAATAAAGAATGTATATTAAATTTTTAAAAAGAAAATAACATTTTATAATTAAAATTTTTTAATAAATATAGTAATAGGACTAAAAAAAAATATTGAAGATAAATAAAATAATTGAAATTTAAAAAATAAAAGATAAAAATAATAAATGTATAAAAAAAAAAAAAAATACATAAATTATAAGATATAAAATTAAATAATTATAAATAAATAAATATAATTTAAAATATATAAAAAAAAAACAATATAAAAAAAAAATATATATAAAAATATATTTATAAAAATAATATATATTTACCAAATATAAATAAGTAAAAAAAAATATCTATAATTTTTAAAAATTTAATGTAAAATATATTTATTTAATTTATAATTAATTTTTAATATTTATAAATTTAATTTAATTTTAGTTAATTTATTAATTATATAATTTGAAAAAAATTAATTATAAATATATATTAAAAAAATATATAAATATATATAATTTTAATAAAAATAAATTAAATATAAATAATAATAATCAAAATTATATAATAAAATAAATAATTTATAAAATTTATTATAATAAAAAAAATATATATATTTATATTAAAATGATATATGTAATATATCTATATAAAACATAAAAAATATATAATTAAATTTATTATTTATGAATATTATTTATATTTATATTTATATTTATATTTATATTTATATTTATATTTATATTTATATTTATATATATATTTAATTTAACAGAGATTTACAAGCATTATTTTTTCAAAGAATTAAATTAATATTCATTATAACATTTTTTACAAGATAAATTATCACATGATTAGCAATTAGTATATTTATAAGAATACTAAGCACACGCCTTAGTTTTATGTTTAAATATAATAGCCTTCTTCGCATTTTATACAACCTGATTAATTACATTATTAACATTTTTGAGAACAATTTTCACATTTTTACTAATATTAGATAAAAAACTAGTATCTGGACATCTTTCTACACAACTAGTACCGTAAATTTTGAATTTATTTCCGTCACAAAGTAATCACTCTGCTACATTTTTAGGATTACATTAGGAGCAATTTTACTTACACAAAATACATTTTTTATCTGAACCTAATCTATATCCTTTACTAGTATCACATTTATTACATGTACTAGAATCATTTTATTAAGACATCCAACAGAGTCTTACACATTCTTATGTTTCT